GCTCCTGGGTGCCCCAGCTGCCTGAGGCTGGCAGGACGGGAGTAATCTTTGAGGGGTTCTGGTGTCAGGCACGGAAAGCAGAGCTGCCCGAGCAGGACACCAGCACCAAAGCGGTGCTCAACACTCCAGCCTTGTGAACTGCTCGGCTGGAGTGCAGGCACGAGCCAGCCAGGTGGGGCTCGGTGCCGGGGTATAGGCAGCAAGGGGCTCCTGGTCACAATCCATCACTAGGTGACATTGCAGCCCATCCATCGTTGACAACAGAACCCATCCTTCAGGGACCCGGTGATATCGGAACCCGTCACTCAAGGACATCCGAATAGGCCATCGCCACCCCCGACGCGTGTGCTGGGGCCACAGTGATGCCACGGCCCACTCCGTCCTCTCACCTCTTGTCCTGGGCTTGGCATTGGTGTTTCCCGCCAGGCACCGAGGCTTTGGCCATGTCTTCCCGTCAGGTCGCTCTGCCCGGGGCAGATGTCTCCAGGCACATATGGCCAGAGGGTTCACTGGGTAACACCTCATGCCTCCCTGGGGGGCTGCAGGACAAAGTCCCACGGGTCTCCCCACACCCCAGCACTGCTGGCCAGCCCTCGGGGCTCCCCTGCTTCCTCCTGTGGGGCATCAAAGGCAGTGCTTGGCTCACTCTGGCAGGTCTTCTCCCATCTCTCTCCCCTAATCAGAGGTCACAAGGGTGATCCCCTCTGCTCAGCACCCACCAGGCCTCCTCTGGGCACTAGGACCCATTTGGGGTCCTGCAGACAGGCTGACAAACCAGAGGGCTCAGGGGAGGCAAGGAGGCTCTGTGGGGATGGGGCTGGTTCAGCACAGAGCAGAGGAGGGGTCAGGGCACCTCACAGCACAGCCCAGTGCCTGGGGGGGAGGTGTTAAGGGGATGGGGACAGGCTCTTGCCAGCACTGCCTGGAGGGAGGGTGACAGACGGTGGCACCTCCTGAAACGAGAGAAGTTCAGGCTGGAGATAAGGAGTCAAAACCAAAATCCGTGGGAGGATCATGAGGCACTGGAGAGGGTTGCCCAAAGAGGAGGTGGGATCCCTCAGCATGAGGTCAGCCTTCAAGAGCTGAGTGGCCACAGCCCTGAGCAGCCAGGTCTGTGTTCACTGTTGACCCTGCCCTGAGCCAGTGGTTGCACAAGAGTCCTCATCCTTCCAGACCTTCTTCTAGTTGGAATGGTTTTGTGGTTCGGTGAGTGGTATGACCAAGCATGAAGGGAAACATCTGAGCATGGAAGACTCGGGACTGGCAGAAAAAGGGCCATGAGAATGGCAGGGGTCGATGGCACCCACAGTGGCGCCTCATCCAGATCGCATTGATGTGCAGCTTCTCAGGACACCCAGGCAGGGACAATCCAGGAGATGTGAAACAGCCTCCAAAGGTTCTGTGTCGTGTCTTCTGTCTCACTTCAGGTTAATTCTCTCCAGACTGGGTGGAAATACACATTTAACTGACTTGCTGATGACTGTGATATCGGGCAGAAAAATTTATATCATAATAATGCTTAGGTCATAGTGACATTGTTTAATTTAGGCCTGACTACTTTGTATAAACAATGCGTGCCTTCCTAACAATTACGGCTTTGAAGAGGAGCTATGGGACGACAGAAGAGGAACATCCATTCCAGAGGGCGCCGAAAGCTGGATGACTGCCGATGAAGCACAAAGTTCACAAAAATCTAGGGTAACTGGAGAAAGGTAAAGGCGGCAGAGGGAGGTCGCGACCACCAACTCCATTCAGAACCAAAAAGGCTGCACCCCCCCAGCGTGTGAGCACGCGCAGTTAAGGAAGGAAGGAGCAAACCTCTAAGATAAGCTGTAAGGTGATGAACCAACGGGAATGTAACAAGCAATTCCGTGGGGGTTTTTTTGTAAGAGCATGTAGTCCTTGTGCCTCTGCTAAGCGGTATGCTGGCTCTGTGGAATGACCACCCAGCACCCAGACCTGCGCCAATGCTCAATAAGGCAAAGCCTCGGCTCGGTGTGTATGCTGGCGTACCGCACAGCGGGTAAACGATCCCGCTTTTGGGACAACAACAGGATTGATGTCAATGGGTGGAATCCATTTTATTTTGAAATAAACATCTCCCTCCCCTCCTTGCTTTGCACCTCCCAACGTTCTTGAGATTTGTTGATACAGTTCACAACTTGATACAGTTCACAACTTGTTGATAGGGTTCTCAACAAAGGGTCTGGGCTGGAATGCCCAGGAGGCCCCCGGAGACCCTCACCAGCTCTGCGTAGAGACCAATGTTGCAACATGATCGAAACAACTGAAGGATAAGATTCTTTATCGTATTTCATGGCCCTTCTCCTCGTTCACGTGGATTTGGGCGGGGGCAGATTGCTGTTCAGGGTTAAAGTCATTCCAGTTACAAGTGAGCACAGTGTGTGTGCCGCAGGGAGGCTGAAACAAGAGCATGGCCTCTAATTAACTGTATGTCCCCAGCTGCTTTATTTTCATCGGATATTCAATATAAGTTGTCTCGTGTCATCAACAACCAGAGAAAAAAGACCCTTGAGTGCATCAGATTATCAGAAACTTCCTCTAATTTGATCATTTAACTTCTTGTGCAACATGGCCACAAAGCAACCAACACAGACAAGAACAAGCAAACAGAGGGGAGGCCAAAGCAGCCCCACGTAACACCAGTGACCGCTCTTTGTCCCCTCCCTGGTACCCAGCAATCTCAGCAAAGCACCCGACAAGGAACGCGTTCCTGCCAACATCACAGGAATG